CCCTGAGGCTACTCCAACCATTTTGGCAGCTCCTGTGGCTGCTCCAAGCACTGTGGCAGATCCTGTGGCTATCCAACTATTGTGACACCTCCTGTAGCTGTCCAACCACTGTGACAGATCCTGTGGCCCTTGTGACACCTCCCGTGGCTATTCAATCACTGTGACATCTCCTTTGGCTATCCCACCATTTGTGATGCCTCCTGTGGCCATTCCCGCTCCTGTAAATGTTTGCTTGGCCACTAAATGTTTACTTGGCACCAGTGGGACTAAATCACTGTGTCCTGGATTTTTTTCATTCCCTTCACCTCGTCTTCTGTGTTTCTTCCTCACCTAAATTTGTGTCCTCCCCACCGTGCCCTGTGATTTCTGCTGCCTTGGGTGGGCTTTTTAGGGCTCCTGAAAGCCACATCCCACTGTCCCAGTGCTCAGGGCTTGCTCCTTCTTTCCCAAATACCACATGGAAACACAGTTAAACACAGCCCAGAACCTGTGCCGGAGTTCCTGGAGGAATTGTGGTGATCTGGGGACATCTCCTGGCCGGGAGATGGATCAGCACTGCTGGAAAATAACCCAGCACTGAGCGAGTCCGTGAATTCCAGGCACACAGGGCTGTGGCAGCACAGCCCACACTTCCCACCCGGTTCACAGCCACGCGTGAGAGCTCTTCACCTCTCCTCACTGAACATTGCAACGCGGTCATTTAACTTCCATCCCGAGGGAACAGATCTATCGGAATTAAAAATAAAAAAGTGATTTTTTAATTTTTTTTTTTTTTTTTTGCTGAAAGCCACTAAAAAAGCACTTTTTGTAAACCACATCATTTCCCTTAACCACGCTGGTGATGCTGAAACCCAGCAGAAGACCCAGCCTGCCCTTCTGTGCCACAGCCACATTTTACTTCACACCAGCCTGATTGCCCTTTTTAAACCCCCAAAATATACTCCACAATAAATATTAATCTCACATTAATGCTGCTATCAAATATTACTGTCTTCTTTTTACACCATCCCTTATCTTCCACACAAGATTGGACATAGCACAATATTAAATACATTATAACCCAGCTCATACAGCTCTCAGTGAAACAGCCTCACCTCTACAGCCCACCTGCATCCCTCAGGAATGAGAGCTATGAGAAAGAAGAATTCTTTCTAGAAAGAAGCTGCATCTTGTATTATTATACCCAGAGAAAAGGCAGAAGTTCGTTTTTCCACTTCTGCTTTTCAAATGGTATGAATCCACATTCTGGTCTCTGTTTCAACAACCTGCACAGCTCTCTCTCCAAGGAGAAGAGAGGGGAGAAGACACTGAAGTTGCTACTGAAAACCAATGAGAGGAAATTTGACTGACCCTGATCTAGGGGAGTCACGTCAGCAGCACAACCTTTTCCCTGGAAAATTCCAGTTGCATCTTAATTAGGGCTGACACGCCGGAAGGTAAAGGAATGCTGTCCCAAAGGAATGGAGTGTCCTGCCCCGTGTGCCGGCCCCAGTTGTCACTTGGGATCAATAG